GTAAAACATTTAACACATTTGCCAGCATCAACCAAATCCATCCCTAAAGTCAGAAGCCCTCAGATTACAGCCTCGAAATCTGAAGAGGAACACTAGCCTCGACAGCTTCTTCCCGACAGGCAACTAGCGGGATTCTCTCGAGGCTCCCAAGCCTCTGCAGTATATGCCTCTGGCAATTCTCGGCTGCCAATATCCCAGCAGAATACGCGCCGTGAACCGAGCCCTGATGGTCGACACTCACAGCCTCACCACCGAAAAACAGATTGCCCACTGGGGCCCGCAGCCTGTCATATATGTCCTCCGAATTTCCCACCGCATCGTAAGAATACGAGCCCAAGATGTTCGGGTCAGCTCCCCATCTTGACAGGCGGTATTGAACCTTTCATAAAAACTCCATTCAGCATATAAATGAATTCATCTAAAAAAAAAAAGTATATTTTAGTGAATAATTTAAACTTACGGGCTCAGTTGCGTCTGGAAACATTCCTTTTAGCTGTACCATGGCGAAATTAGCGGCAGCCTCGTCCGAGAGCTTTTCAAGGTCATAAGCAAGGGCCCCGGCTGCCATATAGACGAGAACGGGATGGCCAGTAGCCTTGTGGAGATTGAGAAAATAGCCACAGGAATAAGAAGTGGTGGCAACAACGCCCAAAAGCTCCACGTTTGGCCAAAAGACGTGGTCGAATTTTAAAGCAATTTTGTTCTCATTTCCTATGCCGAGATCGGATATTGCAGATAGTTTCCATTCGGGCAGCTTAGGTTCAAACTCAATCGACTTGGCTTTTAGGATTCCCAAAGGAACGGTGATGATGGCAGCATCTGCTACAAACTCACTGCCGTCTTCAACTGTTATAACCACCTTTTTGTACCCATTGACGATTCTCTTCACCCTGTAAATCAAGATTAAGAAGAAAATTAATTGTTATTTCGGTGAAAGCTTAAAGGTAGATTGACCAAAACCTGAGAAACCCCAACTGTGGGGCACCCCAAATCGAATTAGGAATTCAACAGTTATGCTTGATGAAGCAAATGAGATAATTATAGTATCAGGAAATATTTACGTCCATGAAATGTGCAGGCATACCGGTGATTTAAGCGGATATCAATATCTCTGGACAGGGCCTTTATCACCGGATCATACCCTTGCACCATGAGTCCGTGGCCACCGGTAAGTACTTTCTCCTGAACACATAGGAAACAATAAGGTAAACAAGACAGCATTTACGTGGGTAGTGTTAATACTTAAACCAGTGAAATTCATTCATGATAAACACAAAAAAAAATGCAAGTGCGGAAGCTTTGAGAATTCCTGGATTTAGTTAATCCCATCCAGTTTCAATATGTTTGAATGTTGATAAGATGACAGACCAAAGAAAAAGTGAACCAAAAGAATAAAATCCAAAGATTTTGTTGGAACATTTCATTTTACAATTGCATAGTTGAAGTTACGAACAGGTTACAACTTTGGGAAAACAACATTGGACTATTGAAGGAACTAAGATCACTAGTTTTTCCTATGAATTTCATTTTATAGGATAAAATAAGTGCATATCAGCATCCAGTTGACATCTCAATGAAGGATCGCTCTCTTGCAACTCAAAGTTGATAGCAACAAAGTAGAAGCAGTTGACACTTCACAGAAAATAGTACTAAAAAGAAAACAAAATAGAGAAATGGAAACAAACTTGCCTGGTCCCAGGCTTTCAGAGATATCATGTCTGCATCTGCAGCGAACCAAGCTTCCATCCTACATATGTACCACTGTAGAACTTCGTGTGCAAGGCCTTCTTGTCTGATAATATGCAATTTACAATAATAAGGAATAACTTTCTATTTTAGAAGATGAATATTACGATGAGCCAGACATTGTTTACGCTACCTGAATTCTGGATGTCTATCCAAAATGATTGACATTGCTTCCTTAATAGATATGTCATTGCTCTGTTCATTCCTCACTTTATCCGTCTACAAGAGGGAACAAATATTATCAATACGTTTTTTTCTGCACCACTAATGCACCATACATCTAGAGAAATTCTATATAGAATACACTACCTCTTCAAGGATTTTTTTAAATGCAACTCCAACTTCAATAACCATACTTTGGGGAACTTGATGACCATTTACGTCGAATAGAGCATAACTGAAAGAACAAGACAATAAATTGATAATCCTTACAATAAATTGACAATTAAACTGTAATATGATTTGCAATGAAATGAATTGAAAAGAAATGAAAGTAAATAAATTATAAATGTAAAAGTGGACATTGAATCCTTGTAGGCCTGTACTATGGTCAATATGAATTAAAAAACAGAAAGGAAAACCAAAATGCAAAAGGTTCCCAATCAATGATGCTCAATCAAGAAAAGTTGCATTTATATTCTTGCAAATTGAAGTCTTCAAAATAAAAAAAAAAAAAAAAAAAAAAAAAAAAA